ACAAAAACATTTTTGGTGGGGGGTTGAAGGGAGTCTGGCCTCCAGTTACTGCCTTTGCCATTGTTACTATTGTTATTGCTTGGGTATTGTCACAATTGCCCATTTTTTGCCCGTATCGTGTAACAATTGACCAGTTTTTGCCCATGTATTGTAACAATTGGACACATTTTTCCCATGTATTGCAACAAATAACACTTTGTTGACAGTGTATTGTCAACAAATTGCCAACGTATGATAACAATTGCCCTTTTCACACTTTGCACATCAAAATCTAATTGCACATGAGTATAGGGAGACAAGATAAGGCTCTGGCGCCTTCCCCACTGTTCTTAAAGCTCGTCAAAGAATGTGCTCTTTGAAAAAGCTCTGAGTACAGTGGGCCATGCATCAGAGCTTTATCTAGTCTCCTGTGCTATTTTGGAATCCAGCAAATAGGATTCCAAAATTTTTAGAACTTCCCTTTTTTCTTCTTTTCGAGGCAGCAAAGGAGCCTGGAGCCAGTACCATCGCTTATTGGTGATGCATTCCCCAGCCCGAGATCGATATCGATGGCCTCAGTGGTTTTATTTTCTTCTTTTTTGATTGGGCAGCTTGGACCAATGGCGCTAACAAAGAGTAGAGGCTGTGACAGCTCTTGCCTCACTATGTTAGGTTACACAAGCAGTGGGGAAGCCCACTGCTGTGTAACCTAACTACCTGTCAAAAGCGCTCAGTCCATGGCAGGTTACACAGCGGGGAGGCTTCCTCTGTTGTGTAACCTGTTACAAGCCGGTCTGAGGTCATCAAGGCTGCATGTGGGTCTCTCCAGGGCTGGGTTTGTGCCTCACAAGGGCTGTGTTTGGGTCTCACCAGGGCTGTGTTTGGGACTTCCCAGGGCTGCATTTGGGTTTCTCCTGGGCTCTGCAGGTGGGTGCCAGGCTGAACGGTGGGATCCGGGCTCGTGCCTGGCTCTGGGAATGTACAGGCAGGTGTGGGGCTGTTCTGTGTTGTGCCGGTGCTGGAAAGTAGGAGGAGGCAATGTATGGCTAGACCAGCACTGTCAAAGACAGTTGCCTGAGATCCCAGGCAGGCTGCCTGAGGTCCCGAGCAAGTGCGGGACCTCAGGCACCCAATTTTGCCAAAAAATTTGAAGGGCCGTTATCAGCCTTAAGAATCGGGGATTTCTCATGACCACAAATACTTGGGAAAATGCCCTGTATTGCCCCGATACCCATACTGGTATCCGTATTGAGACATCCCTATTATTGGCATATTCCCATTCTAAGTCAAATGCAATACATATTTCCTATGCTCCTCATCTCCATCTAGTGGCTATATGGTATTTTCCTAATATTGTATTCATTGTTTGCCACCATTTGCGCAGAACGATTGTACATGGCATTTTTGCATTATAAATGGTTCTGCAATTTTTTTTATAAATACCCCCTACATTTTCTGGTTTGCTAATGCAGTGTCTATAATAAACAGGCCATGCTTTATTTTTCCCATCCTTTCACTTTTGTCATCTTTTATCAATTCTGCTGATTCCTGCAGCAATTTCCTATCTACAGGCACCCACTGCAGCATTGATTGCATCGATTGTGAGCAAGTAATTGCTCTGGACCGGCTTCCTGATAATGACAACAGTAGACTATGCCTGCTCAATGTGTCAGCATGGCCCTCTTATAGTCTTTATCGGGGGCACATGCGGCAAGGTGACATTTTGGAAGCACAATTGGCATAAAGCAGTTCCCTCAAAACAGGAATTCATGGCAGGATCACCAGGTAATATTTTAATGGAAGCTGCAGAGTGAAAAAGATTGAAGACAACTTTTGAAATGACATGAAGACATGAAAGCTTATAGGAGGTTGTAGTGATTGGGGTTATATCTACTTTATGGAAGCCATTGTCTACCATTGGAAGCCCATATACTGTATATTATAGATATTATCCAGCTCCTACATCCTTCTCCCGTATGCCATCAACACAACGCCCTTCTGATCCAATTGCCTGGGGCAAAGTTGGAACAAATTATACTTGTGAGGATCATCTATCTGCTTCGGAGGAAGTCAAAACGTTTCCAATTCTTCCAGTTTCCTCCCAGGTGTTCAAACTTTACACGTCACTGTTTACTTGAGTAAACAATTCTTGCAAAATTTTTATTAGATTATTATGGCTTTGGCCAATAATTTTTATTATTCTTGTATAACGGGCCACTCAAAAATATATAAATACCGTGGATATCCACCACACAAAAATCAACCTGCAAAGGAGTGACAAGACTTGTCTATCAACTCATCAACCGACAAATCTGAATCCTGGTCTCCATCACCATGAAGCTCATCCTTGTCTTCCTAATCTTCGGCAGTGTGATCGCTGCAGGTGAGAATTATTGAGAACAGGATTTTTTATTTTTTTTGCAAAAATGTTTTATTGAGATTTTCACATTTTCACAATCAAATACAATCCAGGTTATCATCTAACACAGCAGGCTAATGGTACAACATACATCCCAAGGATAAAAGGAAAAAATAAGCACATAGATACATTCAGTAAGTTCCCCAGCCGACCTAGTAATCTATTCGTGGCCTGGTGGAGTAGTCCCTCGCACCAGCGGGGTGAACAGGATTTGTTTTTTAAACTGAGCTTTTAGTAACTTTACTAGTCCTCATGAATGAATTTCTGACAGGTCACACTTCACAGCAATAGTACCTTTTATTATTTAAAAACAGTCTGAGAACTCCAAACAAGTCACGTTTGTCTAGACTGGTGGCGTCAGTAGTGAGAAAGTAGTATATCACCAGCACTCGAAAGATATTGTTTAAATCTTTGTGTTAATATATTGATATGTAGCGTCACATATATCAGATAGCCAATGTTTCGGGGCCACGAAAGGTCCTTTCATCACGGCAACATAGTGATATTTGGTCATCTCTTTGATCATTTCATCCTTTCCTCGCAGAACTTAAAAACCCACCTCTGTGCCAGATTCCTCCAAACCAGGAATCCGGACATGGATGGACATGGATTGACCATTAAGTACATTTGACCTTCAAATTGTTTAGGGGCCATCATATCTGGCGAGTGGTTTGGAGTACTGTATCCAGATATAATATAACAATAGGGCTTAGGGGGTATTTTAATGTAAACTGATCTCGCTTAATGCTCGGGTTCAATTTAAAGTTATGTACAGCCAACACATTTTCTTTTATACATTTTGGATAGAGTAGGGAATGGTTAGGGGCCCATTTAGACCTGTCTGCTCTGGTTTGTTGACTTATGTGTGTTAAGGCTGTGCATTCATTTTGAATGGGCTTCTAATGCACCGAAGTGGAAAGGAAACCATACCTGCACCACTTTTTTTCTGATGCAGCATGCCCAATGCGTAGTATAGTGCAATCTACATACAGTGCATTTTGCGATGCACCGGGGGATAGAGAGAGGGGGGGGGGAGAGAGAGAGAGAGAGAGAGAGAGAGAGAGAGAGAGAGAGAGAGAGAGAGAGAGAGAGAGAGAGAGAGAGAGAGAGAGAGAGAGAGAGAGAGAGAGAGAGAGAGAGAGAGAGAGAGAGAGAGAGAGATGGGGGAGAGAGAGAGAGAGATGGAGGATAGAGGAAAGAATGAATATAAAAGGACAGAAGAATATAGAGGAATGGCCCTGTCCCCCCTTATTTCCTGAACAGAACAGTTTGTTTTTTGCAAACATTGTATTTTGTCATTGATGTACCTCTTCCTATGCCTTCTGTCTCACTTATGTGTCCCAAACATTCTTGTATAAAAATATAAAATACTTGTAAAAGAATATAGATAGATAGATAGACAGAATATAGAGGGATAGATAGATAGATAGATAGATAGATAGATAGTTAGATAGATAGATAGATAGATAGATAGATAGATAGATAGATAGATAGATAGATTGGAATTCTGATCTTCTCATGACTATTCTATGGCTTGTTTATTTGAAAATATAAAAAATACTTGTAAAAGAATATAGAAGGATAGATAGATAGATAGATAGATAGATAGATAGATAGATAGATAGATAGATAGATAGATAGATAGATAAAGGTATATTGGAATTCTGATCTTCTCATAAGAGGTGGTTTCTGCTGTGAATTTGCAGGCTTGTCTGGAACAATCTAACATGGGGGGTGTTTTGTGTTTTAGGCAGTGCTCGGAGCTGCGTCACTTGTAAAGTCATCGGCGATGGAGTGGACAACTGTCAGGGTGATGTACAACAGTGTGGAAGCGTAACTGACTTTTGTGCAACCCAAGTTGAATACAACATGTTACGTAAGACTGAAAAAACAAATCTAAATATATTGTATTCTGTACATTAGAGAACATTAAATGGAGGCATACAATTCAAGAAAATTCCTGAAGCCATGGTTGTCACCCAGACTTCAAACTTAGCCCTCGTTCACACCTGAACGTTTTGTAGCGCGTTCTACGCTCGACGAACGCTCTACAAAACGCTCAAAAATATAAATCCCATTGTATTCAATGGTCTCGTTCCCACCTTGGCGTATTTCCGCCCGTCCCTAACGCGCTACAAAACGGCCCACGCCTGAAAAGGTACAGGTACTACTTTGGGCCGTTTTGTTGCGCGTTTCCATTGGGATACAGCCAAGTAGCCTTCGGAAACGCGCGTTTGTCGTGCTACTTTTTTTACCGCGAAACGCGGTAAAAAAACGTGCGATGGTCGCACGACAGACGCGCATATGCAATACGCCTAGGTGTGAACCAGGCCTTAATCTTCCTCCCTTCACCTCTATGACATGTGTGGTGATGGGATTAGTAATTTATAGAAGAAAGATAACATTGTTTGTGCTTTCAGTCCAGCTCACAGGAAGTGACAAGGACCCGGCATTTCTAGCAGGATCAACAGATACGTTCTTTACTTCCTGAATTGTCCTTAAAATAGAAAACTAATTCAGCCAGCACATCAAAGGATGACTGCAAAATATATTATAGTTTTATTCATGGGTTGAAATATCCTTTAATGCCCAATTCCAAAACAGCTTCCCTGGAAGTTCTTGGAGACTCACCTTGTCACTGATCCAGTCATGGTCCCCTTACTGGTTGAATGATGTCATTCAACCCACTTCAAGGGTCTACCCCTCTCCCCAGACTTAAAGTAGGAATGCTGCGAAGTGTGACTCTCTGCAGGATTTAGAATCTGCTCGCTGCCGGAGGAAGAAGAGGGTCAGCAGGCCAACGACAGCTGGAAGAGGGTAGACATATTAGGCAGCCTCCTCTCCGCAGGCTCTTGTCCCGTCTAATGCAAATGCATTAGCAGTAAGGACACTGAGGGACATACCACCACCGGAGCATGGAGGGGGAGGGAGGTGAGCCCCTACTGCTGCAGGACAGAGGATAAGGTGAATATATCTTCTAGATTCCAGCCCCCAGAGAAAAATGAGCACTTACCTTTGCAGTGGTAGCCCCACTGCAAGGGTTAATTTTTTCATTCCCTGGAGTTCCCCCTTTCGGTCACAATCATGCTTTACACAACACTGGAAAACCAACAATAAGAAATAAGCAAAGTCTGGAAAATATCTCTCTCTCTCTCTCCATCTCCATATCTCTCTCTCCAATACTCTCTCTCTCCCCCCCTCTCTCCCCCCCATCTCTCTCTCCCCCATCTCAATTCAAGTCAATTCAATTCAAATAAGGGGTAAGGTATGAAGGGGGATTGGGGTGAGTCCATGTTGGAGATTTATAAGTCCAGGATCTCTCATGTTCCTCTGTCGGTGACATTCTGTGACGTATTGAGCAGATATTTTCACAGTCGGCTCCTCTTCTCCCAGTACGATGTGGAGTTTCCTCGTCTCTTCTCTAGAGGTGAAGTCCGGGATGAGAGCGGAGAGTCTCTGGAAGTGAGTGTCCCTCAGTGCTGAGTACTTGGGGCACTGTAGGAGGAAGTGGACTTCATCTTCCAGGGCCCCCTGGTCACACTGCTGGCACAGTCTACTCTCTCTGGACTTGTAGGTCTGTCTATAACGCCCTGATACTATTTCCAGGCTGTGGGCGCTCAGTCTGTACCGGCTCAGGATTTGTCTGTCCTTGGGGTCTTGTATTACCTCTAGGTATGGGGCCAGTTTGTATTCCCTCTGTAATGACTGGTAAATTATGAGTTTCTGGGAGTTTGCTATATAATGTCTCCATTCTTTGATATAGTTTTCCTGGAAACATTAATGATGTCCTTTATTGGATATTTGGTCAGGTTGCATTCATGGGGGCTTTGGATGAACAAGGTGGATATGAGTTGTTGCAGCCCACATGGTTTGGGGTGGTCCTTGTTGGCCAGTAGGGCTTTATGGTGGTATGAATTGGGGCTGCTGATGCTTAGGTGGTCCCAGTATGATAGCGCCCTCTTCTGTACTGCAAGAAGTAAGGGGAATCTGCCCAGCTCAGCCCAGCAAGCATTGTTAGAAGTGCTCCGATCATCTCTCTCTCCCCATCCCTCTCTCTCCCCATCTCTCTCTCTCTCTCTCTCTTTCTTTATCTATCTCTATAGCTCTCTCTCCCCATCTTCATATCTCTCTCTCTCCCCATCTCTCTCTCTCCCATCTCTCTCTCTCCCCCATCTCTTCTCTCGCTCCCCATCTCTCTCTCTCTCTCTCTCTCTCTCTCTCTCTCTCTCTCCCTACCTCCATCTCTCTCTATAGCTTTGGATGCCACCAAAGTTCACCAAAGTTCCTGTGCGTGTAAAGGCAGGCGTCCCAATACTTTTGGAAATATAGTCTGTCTCTCTCTCTCTGTCTCCCCATCTCTCTCTCTCTCTCTCTCTCTTCTTGTACAATTTGATGTTTTCGTCATAACCATAACATATAGAATTAAACATTCCCAACTTTTCTTCTTCCTTTAGGAGGAGTTAAAATACAAACAATCAGGAAGAGATGCATGCCTATAGATCAAGCAATAGTTTGTGATAAACAGAGTGTTCTAAATACAACAGATGAGTATCAGTATCTCGTGTTCTCAAAATGCTGTTATGCAGACAGTTGTAACACAGAAGGGATCCAAAGTAAGTATGACTTTTCTAAGTGTAAGAGTCTGCAAACTGCCTCAAATAAAACCTACCTGCTAAAATAGGCCTAATGCTGTTCAGGGCCTAGCCAGGCACCTCTGCCAGACACTATAGGCAGGTCCTGACCATTGACTTTGCCCAGCTGCAGCCAAAACAATACAGTTGGTTAACATTGTGGTTGGATAGTGAAGGCGCAGCAGTTGGCAGGCACTTCTGTGCTTTTTTTTCCAATCGGCAAGCTCCATTTGGTGAATTCTCAGCAGTAAAGTTTGACTGGCGTAGAGCACTGACCCTTGTTCTCCCAGTCTGATCACTCTTGGCACTGGCCTTCTTTTTTTTACAATGACATAGTTTGTAAAAAGCAGCTCTGGCTGCAAAACTCACCACCCCTCCGGTGCTGTCTGATGTATTGATTCCTTTCAGCCATTCTTCAGAACTCGTTCAGTGGGGCTGCCCCTGCACTGCAAGGGTCAACTGGTCGTTTTTTCCTCAATCGGATGGAATAAGGAAGAAATAGTCACCCGATCCTCGTTCCTGTGGCATTGACTGCTCACCTCCCCCCCCCCCCCCCCCCCCCCCCGTGTTGCTTTTCTGTGGCCGCCATTTTCCGAAAGCTCCTACCTGATTACCGAGGCCTGAGCTCAAGGTGTATTCTATTATGAGCCTGATCTATTCAACCCATCTACTCATGCTTAGGCAACACCGAGCTGAATCTGAGGCACAGCTTTGAACGGAGAGAAGGGGAGGGGAGGTGTCTGGCTGTGCTATGTCCCTTGGTGTCCTGATGTCTAATAGACCTTCATTAGATGTGATGATGTCACAGGACCTTAGACCGTTGAAGCACGGGGAAAAAGAGGCTGCAGGGACCAGTCTAGCATCAAGGCATGACTGAGGAAAATGAGCAGTTAACCTTTGCAGGGCAGGGTTAGCCTAAAGTTCTAAAGTCACAGCATATACTATCCTGATATACCATCCGGAAATGTCAGTTTTGGATGTCATGATTCTGACTTAGTTAGTAGAGCGTTTTCAATTTCAAAGTGAGGATTCACTTGGCTTAGTGACTTCAGTGAAACAATACCCTGTGCAGGATATCACGTGCAAGGCTTCACCTCGTACACTAAGCTAAGTGCAAATCCACTTTGAAAAGAGAAAATTCTCGTAGTGAATAAAGTGAAGCTGCGCTGACTTCAACCATCCAATCAAGTACAAGGCAAAAGAACAGTTTAAAAAAAAAATCCTCCTTGCACATAATTGGTTATTCTTTGCCAGAACCGTCCCTATAATGCAGCAGTTGCCTCAGGCGGCATCTCTGTGGGTCACGTAGAGGGGGGCAGGCAGAGTGGCATGGCCGTTCTGCTGCATAATGTTTGCGTTGTGCATGCAGACCGATTTCTGGCCAGAGCGTTCCAGGTTGCTAAGAGTTGGACATGGAGATGTGCAAGGGCCACACATATCTCCCCACCCAGCTCTTAGCAACATGGGACGCTCTGCCCATAATGAGGCAGTCTGAGGCAGATGCCTCGGGTGGCATCTCATTGGGTCATGTGTATGGGGGTAGGCAGAGTGGCATGGCCACTCTTTTGCATAATGTTTGCATTGTGCTTTCAGTCCAGTTTCTGGTCAGTGCATCCCAGGTTGCTAAGAGTTGGACCTGGAGATGTGTAAGGGCCATGCAAATCTCCCCACCCAGCTATTATCACCGTGGGATGCTCCGGCCAGCATCTCGTCCAGCTCACTGATTTCATCACTGGTTGCCAGGAACTGGGCCTCTGCCAGAGCATCCCAGGTGCCACCCATTCTCGCACCCGCCTGCGGACAGCGCCATCCCCTCACCTTCTCATGTGCCGCCAGCACCCCCCCAAGGACCGCCTGTGCATAACTGTTTTACTAACATAAGTGAAAATTGACTTTCAATGCCTGTTCACACCTACCATGCATTAACAGTGTGGGAGGAACACTGGAATGGCACCCCAAACGCACCTCCCCCCTCAATGCGATCAAGCATGCTGCAACACATAGTACTGCAATAGTGTGCATTGCGATTAGTGCATGCATTTTTTTTTCAATTGCAATGCATGATTGCAGCACAGTTAATCGCATTGTGGGCGAGAGGTGCAGCAATCATGGGATTTGGGGGTGCCATTCCAATGAATGACAAGGCAACGTTCCTGCCACACTGTTAACGTGTGGACGTTGTGTTACACAGTAGCATATGTTAATCACGCGGCGCTGGTGTGAATGGGCCCTGAAAGTGAAAATGTTCTACTCTTTTAGTAATTCAACCCCAATGTGTCTTTAGAAAAATCTGAAAATATGAATTATCATAATAAAGCAACCCCGGGTTCCCGTGTGTCCATCAATGGGGGTCGTAGTTACTGATGCTTGCTGCAGTATTTCTGATTTCTTAAAATGACTTTTTTCTGCAATGTCCAGTGCCGCAAGTGAATCAAATAAAGAATGGTCATTCATGCCAAAGCTGTTTTGTGGAGGGCAGCTTAGAATGCACAGAATTCGGAACCGTTAACTGTGCCGACACTCAGCTCCAGTGCTTCAACTTCACAGGCATTGCAGCTCTCCCAGGTAATGTTATCGTACTTGAACCCATACATGCTAACACACACCAGCTCAAGTGTTTGAAGGCACACACACGCAAAAAAAAGTATTAATTAAACACTTTCGCTGCCAGGCCCAGTGAAACGCACACCAAAAAAAAGATTCCTACTAAATCTCAAAGATAAAACTGCATTAAATTAGGGCCAATTCACACCATATGCGTAGGGGGTGCGCTGATCATTGTTTCCAGTGCATCCCCAACACAAAGAAAGGCAATATACCTCATCACAGATGGCTTGATTCACACCACCGCGTTGCGACGGGAACGTGGTGGTGTGCGCTGAAAAAAAGACAGACCCAGAGAGACTGAGTGGAGGAGCTCCATGACTGGGGGGAGGAATAGTCCCTGGAGAAGGGCTTAAAATAAAAAGGGGATTAGCTGATCTTACCTTCTCCCCTCACCTTCTCATGTGCCACCAGCACATATGAAGGCGAGTGGAGAAGGTAAGGGTCAGGTGCCGAGGTTGGGATCAGGTGCCCGGGAGGAGCCGCATGGGATGAGACTGCACGGGCTGAGGGGCGTTCTTTCTGGGCAGTTGACGGAGAAAGCAGAGTGTCCCACCCGCCCTCCCTCCCTTAATTTTGTGGTTTCTGATGGTTGCAATGTCCTTTTTTATGTCACGGCAGCTTGGCAGGTTAGGGGGTCTGAAACTCTGAGTTAGTTACACAGTGGGGGGGCCATCAGCTGGTATGGGTGCTTCCCCCTGTTTGTGTCAGTATTGGTCGGGGGGCCTGGCCCCTTGGAATTTGGGAGCAGTAACTGTCCTTGAGCTGGTTGGGGTGCGACTGGGGACATGGGAGCAGTTTTTAGGAAAGTCCTTATTTGGACTGTTGGGCACCCAAAGACCCCTTCTCGGATCCAACAGTCGTTAAGATGATTTATTTGTATATTATTTTGTTTATGACTTTGGTTATTGTTTAACGTTGGTTTGGTTAATGTCGCGCAGTCTGTGTGTTTATTGGGGTCTTTTAACAGAGGGCCGTAATTGACTAATCTATCAGTCAAGTACAGTATACTGTACTTTTCTTCAATGCAGTGGGATGCGACGCAGAACAACCCACCTCGCATCCCGCCGTGCCTGTAGAACTGAATAAAATGACACTTATGTTCTATGGAAAAAAAATAAAGTTCAATTATTTATTACAGGCATTTATAAAGTGCTGACAATTTACGCATCGCTTTACATGCAGAACAGTCACATCAGTCCCTTCTCTCAAGGAGCTTACAATCTAAGGTAAAATTTAGACAGGAGCCAATTAACCTTCAAGAATGTCTTTGGAACATGGCAGGAAACCATTGCACCCACCAGAAACCCATGGAGAACATGCAAACTCCTTGCAGATAGAGTCCTGACTGGGTTTTGAACCGGGGGGGGGGCCAATGCTGTAAGGTAGAAGTGCTAACCACTAAGGCACTGTGCTGGCATTGGAGCATCAGCACTGTGTCAAGCAACGCATACCACCCGCTGTGTGATTAGCGCAGTGGCTGGTGTGAATTGGCCATTCATAAATAACAAATATTTGTTCATTTCAAAATGCAAATTTTTGTAAAACGGTAAAAAAAACCTGCAAAACTATAAATAAGGGGCGTCACAGTGGCGTAGTGGTTAGCGCTTCTGCATTGCAGCCCCAACCAGGTCACTATCTGCAAGGAGTTTGCATGTTCTCCCTGTGCTTGTGTGGGTTTCCTCCGGGTACTCCGGTTTCCTCCCACACTCCAAATACATGCTGGAAGGTTAATTGGCTCCTCTCTAAGTTTGCTCTCTATGCCTGCATGTGAGATAGGGACCTTAGATTGCAACCTCCTTGAGGGCAGGGACTGATGTGAATGTGCAACTTTGTAAAGTGCTGAGTAAATTGTTGGCACAATAAAATACCTGAAATAAATAACGTATGCTAAAAATCTGGAGGCGGCCTCACACCTCTGTGTGTAACGGCTGTTCTGCAGTGCAATGCAGCATATTACAATGCACGGCAATGCTTCACAGCTCTTTGCCATAAACAGGTATCCCATTACACACCAGACTGGAATCCCACTGTATTATGTAGAATGGTGCTGGAAAGACGTGCGGTTGGCGCCGCATACATTTGAACGTGGAGGAGATTGTGTCACTATGTTATTTGCCTGATGAAGGGACCTCGGTAGGTTTCGAAACCTTGCCCACAATTGTCATGTCATGTGTATCTGCCCTCAATAAAAGGACTTATTGATGGACCTTGGTGTACGGATGACTAGCTCTTCCACAACTCTTTGCCATGCGCTGCCACACTTTTCAATAATGTTATTTTAAAAATAAACCCAAAAAAATAAAGCACTGTGATGTGTTCTAACAATGCAGCACAGTGTATATGCATAACACACACCACACTATGTGCACACTGCTATACAGTATGTGTGTGTGGGGGGAGGAGGGTGCCTTGTTTCTTTTTTAACTTTTTTTTATTATTATTATTATTTATATATTTTTTAATTACCATCAGGGGCTTTGGGGGAAATATCTACACAGACCCCTGATATTTCCCTTTTGAAATAGAAAAAAAGATTGAGGACACAGAGCCCTCGATCTCCTTCTCTGCAGCCCCAGCATTTAATGAACAGGAAGCACTCAGTACAGAGCACCTCCTGTCCATTTATTAACTGAGGAGATAGTAAATACTTACTATCTCCTTAGTTCTGAATAAACAGAAGAGTGATCAGTACCGATCACGCCTGTGTTTATTGCGAAGAGAAGGATTGGCAAATATGTAATAGACTAAATGTAGCCATGTGGACACATAAGGTCAGTGACATCACATCATCCCGCCCCTTTCCTTAAATGCTGCTGTGAATGGGAAATTCCCCAACCACAGCAGATTGGGCAGCAGCAGGAGCTTCCGTCTGTGTTGGGAGCAGCTCAGGTTCGGACCAGGTTAGGAACCATGTCTTTAGTCCCCTACAGCAAGACTTCAGCATGTCAATGTTTAGAATTAATGCTTGTGCCTTTACCAACATTTCTGCTTTATAACTCTTTTCCATTGTTGCAGGTGATTCTGACAAGCCATATGCATTTCAAGGCTGTGTCACTGCTGGTTCATGTCTTGTCGACCATCATCAATTGGCGGGAACTCAGATTGATAAGGATGCCAAGTACACATGTACAAGCGCAGAGTTTGTTGGATTGCAGATTTAGCAAAGCTGTGTAGTCCCCATTGTGTCCCAATGCAGCTGTAAGTGAGGGTGGCCCTTCCATGGGTGTCCACTGCCAGGTGCACAGGGCAACTTCCTACATGACAAAAAATTGTGCAGCTTGTACCCAATGCAGGTGGCGGCATAACCAAAACCAGCATGCTGGACATTTATTACTCAATACTGACTTTACTTACAGCAAACCTTTAGTGTGTAAAACTTTGTGACTTGACATTGGAAATTGATGGCAGGCACCAACAGTGTTCCTGCATGTAGTACAAGCTTTCACCTAGATACTCTAGGAGCCCCTACACTCAGAGCACACTAAAGGTTCCTATAATTGCGTCTTATTAGTAGGTTACAAAGTTTTATTTCGCTACTGGTACACTTTAAGGTCTTCAATGTCTTGATCCTTCTTCTGTGCTATAGGCTTGCAACTGATTAAGAAATATTTTCACTTGTAACTGCCAATATTATGTACCTGGACTCTCTCCTGAGCTGTAAATATCAGTAAAACAATGCTTTATTCTGCATCAAAATTGTCTCTGGTGTCTCATTCCATTATAGACAAGGCAACTGCACTGTGACCATACATAGCTTAACCACTTGAGGCCTTTCTCTTCCTAAATTCACTTGAGTCCCAGAGGATTTTTGTTTTGTTTCTGTACATTCACATTTTGTTTTTACACATATATTTAATGGGGAAACAAAACCTCATCAACAAAATGGGTCTTTTTAGGTGCCATTAATTGTCCACACTCATGTTTACATAGAAGAAAATTAATATTTTGATTCATACATGTTAAAAGATATTCTTCATAAAAACACAGTTATGTGTCCACATTGTCATCTCACAGTACACATATAAAGTCCTTAATGTCATAGATGCTCACAATTCCATGAATTGGCAAGATCCTTTTGCATACAGTAGATCATATATAAGAACAGGCTTGACGCATTTCGCGACTATGCTTCTTCAGAAGCCTTATTATGGATTAGACAGCCTATGGACAACCACCAACATCTGACGCATTTAGGGAGGGAGGGTTCTGGGTTTGCAGCGCATCATGCTCGTAGGGGCTTTCCGGGGGGAGATCAATAGAGGGCCCAACAAATAATCCAACCTTACAAATGACTCATGGGGGGAGAGGGGAAGAGAGGAGCCCAAAAGTAACTGGGACCAACAGACCCTGAGTTAATGGGGGTGTGGGTATCATGTGATGTAAGGAGAGAGTGCACTGCAAAAGGCCATTATATGAGGGTAGAATCTTGGTCAAGAATAAAGGATTCAAACCAGGGACCCCAAGCACTCCAAGGTAAAAGCACTAACCACTATGTCACTGTGCTTCTTGGTTTTTATTGGAAATATGGCTTATGAAAATTGTTAGTGTAACAATAGGATAAGATAAAGTTGGGATGATGAGTGCACATATGGTCACTGGCCGCTGGTCATTTTTTCACAAGTTTGCGATCTCTAAACATTTAAATGACATTGATTTTACTAACACGAGCATTTGATGCTTGCTCAGTGCATGCATGTAGGCGGAGTTCACTGTGGGGTGTTGCGTGTGTGTTCCCTTTGGACTGCTAGGTGTGACCCCGTGTATGCAATCCGACACCAGGCACCCTCTCTCCTAGGGGCCTCGATTCTGGCCTCGTGTTAACCACTCCAACGCTTGTAGTACGGTACCTCATGATATCCACCGCCTATGCTGACTTCAGCGCTTACTCCCCCTTAGAAAGAAAGGCCACCATGAAGGGCACCCTAGGTCGGGCATAGGCGGTTTGCACCCCTACCCTCTTCGAGGTGGTTATGGTCACGGTACCGTCCATCATCAACACACTCTTTGCAGAACCCCTCCACCTCAGAGGTTGAAGGAAGAAGAACCAGTCCACACAGATAGTCTTTTCTTGGTTTTACTTGAAACGATGAACAGAACAAAGGTATACGTTTCAGCCATCCCGAGTGGGATGACGGCACATCTCGTTAATTCTTGTGGTCATTAATAGAGAGAGCTCAAACCCAGGTGCAGCCCAGAGTCCACTACTGGTGTTGGCCAAAGGCCCATAAACACCTATGGTCAATCTTTCCTCACTTCAGTATTCTCCGGAATCCCATTCTTGGTAGTCTTAGCTCTGTGATTTCCCCCTCCAGGGGAAACTGGGGAATCACAATAGCCTCTACATATTTCTAGGCCTGGTCCTTTCCTTCCCATGGACCAGCAGCTATCTCAGAATCCATCTATCTTTCTCTCTTTCCCTCCTTTAAACTCCCTCCCTAGCGCCCCCCCAATTTCCCCCTGTATATTGGCTCTCCTTGGACACAGAGTCTTCCCAGGCAAGAGCTACATCTATCTACAGGGTCCTATGGGGGCATCTAGTGGCCATTGGCCTTACTGCACCTATCCTACATGCAGATGCCATCCAGATCATCTGAGGTCATTGTTGTGACCTGGGGAGGGAATACTTTTATTTCTTTTTAGGATATATTATGTGCATGTAAAAAATGCACGGCATATTAGCACATTATGGCAGATTTACTTACCAACATAATCCCCTCCAGCGCTGAGAAATATTGTACCGACTCCCTACACATTAATTATAAAATGTTAATCATCAATCATTTTAAACGTAAGGAGAGACACCAGGTGGCTTGCAATCAGAGCATCAGAGAGAGGGTGGGTATCATGTGATGTAAGGAGAGAGTGCACTGCAAAAGGCCATTACAAGAGGGTATAATCTTGGTCAAGAATGAAAGATTCAAACCAGGGACCCCAAGTGCTCCAAGGCAAAAGCACTAACCACTATGCTACTGTGCTTCTTGGTTTTTATTGGAAACATGGCTTATGAAAATTGTTAGTGTAACAATAGGATAAGATTAAGTTGGGTTGATGAGTGCACATATGGTCACTGGCCGCAGTCCGCAAAAGCATGGACCCATCCTGCCTTGTATCGGTTCAGGCTGGCAGTGGTAATGTAATGGTGTGTAACATACCGAGCATATAAAGTGACCAGTGACCCAAAAAATGTAAGCCATTACAGGTGAAGCGCACTTAAAAAAGCTTATAGGACCCATAAGTGAACACTAATACTCTATTGGAAGGATATAGGGCTTAGGACAATCATGGCAAAAATGGAACAGACTCCAGACTCACCAATCCCTTCCAGTCTTCCACAATGTAGAATCAATAGGAGAACATGCTGTCACTGGGCAATAGAGCAACAGCTGAACAGGGATAGGCATGAGATCTTCCTATAGAGAGACACAAGACTTGCTCTTGAGGTCCATACCAGTACCAGGCACCTCTAGTAGCCATCAAGCTTTTCTGGCTCTCTAATCTCTTCTTCAATTAGTTCCTGACCCCTCCAGGGTCCACATGTGGCCTACTCCAGGCTTGAGGCCTAGGCAACATTTCCATCTCTGAGCATACCACCCCACAGAAGGTAGTAGGGGCTACAAGGGCTAAAATAATTGTGGATCTTCATTGTGGTAAATATCCCTTTGAAAGGATATGAATATTTGTACAAAAGCTGTAAAAAAAACTCTGCAATTATAAATGCAAGGAATGATTTTGAGAACTAATTTTTCTAAAGTGGTTGCAGATGTTCATACTACCAACAAACTAAAAAATTCACCCAGGTGTGCCGGCTGTTAAATGAATAGTCATCTGTTTTGGTATCACCAGATCTGTGAATGCCAGTGTCTATCAGCCTTTGGCCACTTATCATAGTCTGTGACCACCAGCTTTGTCCAGTCTGTGTGTTGGTTAGATTAGGGGTAGGCAACCTCCCCACCCCAGATGTTGTGGACCACCAACACTCAGGCATTGCAAATCAATGCATGACTCATAGAGGCAGAGATATGATGGAATTTGTAGTTTCAGCACAGCCTGAGGTTGCCTACCCATGGTTTAGATGTATTACAAGATATAGCCTATGTTCACTTAGGGTTCCTATACTGTAAGCTTTTTAAGTACTCTCCACCTGTGATCGCTTACATTTATATGGTCATTGGTCACTTTATATGCTTGGTATGTTACACACCGTTACATTACCACTGCCAGCCTGAACCGTTTATACAAGGCAAGATGGATCCATGCTTTCATGTTGTTTTGACCAAATTCTGACCAGACCATTTGGATAATTGTGTGTGTGTAATATATATATATAGTGGCATAAGGAAAGGGGAAATCATTGAGGGGCGATACATTTCCCCTCGATTTCTCTCATATGTGCAAGACTAGCTTGAATCCAGATCAGGTGCTGGAAAAGTTTTTGTTTTGTGAGGTGGCTGGGAGAATCTCACCACCTGTTAGAGAGTTACGCTGTATGTTTAGTTAGTGCCTGGATGGCAAGCAGGCTGTCGCTATGGGGCCCGGGGCACAGTGGGGCCCGGCCAGATGCCGTGCGGGCCGCCTGGGTCGCTATGGGATCTTCTGCTGCTGGCTTTCACTGGCGTCTATTTGGTGGGCTCTGCAGGGTCACCCTCAGGTGGGGGGCAACATTTTGCTATGGGGCCCTGTGATTTCTAGTTACGCCCCTGATGGCAAGGATTTATTTTCTGTTTTGTTTTTCACCTTGCAACCTTTTAATAAAACTCACTACAAGTTAGATTTTAAAGAACTTTGCTGCGTGGACTGCCTTTTTCCCAGGGAAGGCGACCCCCATTTGAGCTATTCCCCACAAGTTATCTGTCACATTTTCCCCACTATATATATATACCGTATTTTTCGCTCCATAAGACACACTTTTTTCCCCCCAAAAGCAGGGGCGAAATGTGCCTGCGTCTTATGAAGCGAATACCTATCGCCCGACGCCCGGGACATGCAGTTTCGGGCGCCGGGCGAGTAGTTTCTTTTTGTACATTCAGCCCTGCTCCTGACAAGCAGAGCTGAATGTACAGTGGGAGCCACTGCTCGTTTATGACAAGGGATCTGATTAGATCCCTTGTATTAAATCGAGCGGCGGCGGCGATCGTGTCCGCCCCCCACCGCCATGGTTTTCAAGGTTCCCCGCTCCTCTGGGGGACTGTGACCCATCACGGTCACCCATAGGAGCATACCATAGAGCCCCTTGAGCAGACAAAGAACGTCGTTCTTCGTCTGCTCTGTGTGATTACTGAGACAGCACCACCTGTCTCAGCGGTCACTAACTGCAGCTTCTGTGACAGAATTTCTTTCACAGAAGCCCTGCGCCTATCGACCGGAGCGTCTTATAGAGCGCAAAATAAGGTACATATATATATACTGTATATATATGTATATATATATATATATATATTCATGCTCTTTGCCTCCTATTCTTCAGCCTTTGTCAGTTTTCTGTCACCAAGAATATTTGTGGTTATTGTCTGTCTAAAACAGTGTAGCCTAACAGTGTGTATTATTAAAACCTGCCTGGTCTCTCCACAATAAACTGTGGCCTGATAAAAGTGCTTACATACGTGGGCAAAAACTTGCCAATTGTTACAAATACGGGCAAAGAACGGGCAATTGTGACAGTATCCAGGCAATAACAATAGTAACAATTACAAAGACAGTAACTGGAGGCCAGACTGCCTTCAACCCCTACCCCCACCTATACTTTTTTTGTAGTTATTGAGGAATGATGATTCTGAGGAAGGGGGCTTGCCCCTGAAACGCGTCAATCTTGGCTGACTGCGGTCGGTGATGTGACCGGAGACTACCGTGTTACATAGTAGGGGGGATACCATATTGGGTTAACTGACAGTGTGGCCTCTCGGTTAGTAGTTAAAGCCTGATGAAAACGTTTGTTTGTGAGTACTTTTATCCCTTGTTTTATTTATTGTAATAAACAATTTTACACACGGAGGTGGCGCTCTGTTCCCTTTTGTTTTCTATGTTCGTGGTGGAAGCCCCAGAGCCTTGGATGAGCAGCCCCTCAAGTCTGTGTGAAAAACTGTTGAAAACTTTGAGTGTGCAACAGCAAGTGGATTGTTCAGCTGGCAGCCATTAGCGCTAAGAGCTAAAGAAAACTTTTTGTATACTGTATAATGACCTGGTTAAATGAGAACCTTCACAGACGCAGATATTAAAATACATTTTAAAAAACTGACTCAAACTATCATAACTTCCACTTTAAGACTTAACAAATACAACCGTTCACATTTCTTTTTAGATTCCATAATGACTCTGAGAGCTCTTACAGATCATTATTGAATTCCAGTCTTCGGACTCATGTTTAATAAAGTTGTTATAGAGTTCCTATTACACCTCTGCTATTTACCTGCATTATACATGAAAGCAAATACAGTGGTACCTCGGTTCACGAAAGCTTTTGTTCACGAACAATTCGGTTGGTGAACAGGAAGTTCGTCAAAATTTTGCTTCCGTTTGCGAATTCCGCATCGGGTGACGAACACAACCGAAGCCATCTCCCCTGCTCTGACACATGGTCGTGGCTTCTTCTAGTCGAGATCAATTCGGTTCGCGACCAGAATCGTGGAACGAATGAAGTTTGTGAACCGAGATACCACTGTACGTACATTTTGCAGAAGATCGTTTTGTAGATAGAGCATGTAATGTAACACTTGTAAGGTGATGGAAGACAGCAAATGTTCGAGGAGAATGTTAAAGTGTTCCTTTAAACATAACAATTTTCTGCAATTTGCAATGCAAAATATTATTTATTTCCTGAGTTTCACGTGGGAATCCAGCCAAAATTGTCTTTCAGTTTTGTAAGTAGTAGTGAAAGATTACAACTTCTGTCATATTGGCCTTTTTGCAGCCACTTTCTGTCTACTGTCACTCCAGGTATGGCGTCATGGCATTTCTCAGAGTCCACCATTTACCTCCCAACATTAGTAGTTGAAAAAGAGGTGGTCAGCAGGAGGAACAACTCCCCAGAGGTCAGCGGGATACATTTTTGCAGCACTGGTGTCAGTGGGATAATATAGAGTGAACACATTGCATAGCTTAAATAGAGAGGAGGTTGACTGTGTACCCAGTAAACGTAGTTAGGCAGTTCTGTGGGCACACACATAGAGGAGGAATCAGGGCATCTACGCAAGGAGAGAAGAAGCCTCCCTGCAATTACTGCCCTCATCCCACCCATTTTGCTCCTAACTTTATCAGTGAACATCCCCAGTCAGGTGCTTGACCAAGTGTTCCAGCAGGACATGTTCCACAGGGTGCTGGATGGTTTGGAGGTATAATCTACCAAGTCTGTGTAATATGTTGTTTCCAACCAGGAATGCAGCATGATACTCTGCTTCTTGCTCTGAAGAAGGGGCACATTAGTCCATGCCAGCCTGTTCTGTGATATTTTAATAAAAAAAGAAATAAAGATCACTTTTGGATGACTCCAGCACTTATTACTTACTCATTTTTTGGTGCTTCTGCACACCAATATTCAGATTCAAGTTCTCTTTAATAGAACACTAACAAAACCAGATGTCATAGATACACAAAGCAAAGAATATTTCACCGGCACACACTTAGAAGATCCAATATCGTATTGATAGGTTTTTTTCAATACATCCCCTCACATGCTGTCATACAATACTAAGTATTGTATATAATACTTAGTATGACAGCATGTGAGGTGATGTACTGAATAAACCTATCAATACGATATTGGATCTTCTAAGTGTGTGCCGGTGAAATATTCTTTGCTAGTGTGTGCACGCCGCCATCCGTGCGGTCACCTGGAGCACCACAAATTTCTTTTGGGAACTGCAAGACTGTAGGAGTGTGAATGGTACTTGAACTTTGTTGTATAGATACACAAATCTATACAATCCATTGGGTGTTGGTAGACCTTAATCCAAAGACTGTCACCCTAGTGTGTCAGTGGTTCTTTTCTATGTGTTTGGACCAAGAGTGGTTGAACTACATTTACACAGTACACTATTCCACCAATATAAATGTACAAACTGCTCATGGGCAGCAACGAAGAGGACCTGGCTGGATTAAAGACACAGAGGCAATGTAGATAATTTTATGATACACTGGAATAAGTTACTGGCTTCACCATGACGGGTGGGTGACTGTATGCCAAACCAGCTGCTGGCAAGCCTGAAGTATTCCCATCACAACTCGATACAATTTTCATGCTGCAGGAATTGTAGCCCACACACATGATTTCTCTCATTAAGTCCTGGTGAAGGGAGTGTCTTTTGGACCCCTGAAATGCACTGGCTTCTTTACCTAATGGAATAAAGTTATATCTGAACTATTTTAACTAGTGTGGTGCTTTAATTTCTAAATCTACTGTATGCCTACCAAGACAGTCATCCTGCCCTAACCTGCACTGTGGCCAATGTTGGTAATACACAAATCCAGCCATGTTTATAGCACCCCTTCATTTTTACAGTTTCTCAAAAAATGTTAATCATCTATTGTTACACTATATGACCAAAAGTTTGTGGACACCTGGCCATCACACCTACCCATATGGCTAAAAGTATATGGACATTCCACTAGCCCAGTGAAGGGTACTGTTTATGCTTCAGCATACAAATATATTTTACACAATTGTGCTCTTACAACTTTTGGCAACAGTTTGGAGAAGGCCCTTTTGATGCTGCAGCATGACTGTGCTCCTATGCACAAAGCCAGCTCCTTAAAGACATGGTTTGAAGTGTTTGGTGTGGAGAAAATTGCATGGCCTACACAGAGCCCTGACCTCAACTCTACTGAACACCTTTGGGATTCATTTAGGTGCAGATTGTGAGCCAGGACTTCTCATCTAATATCACCTGTCCTCACAAATGGTCTCTTGGTTGATGGGGCACAAATTTTCACAGAAACCGTCCAAATCTCAAGGAAAGTCTTCCCAGAATGGTGAAGGCTGTCATAGCTACAAACGGGAGCTAACCCCATATTAATGGTCATGGTTTTGGAAAGAGATGTCCAACAATCTCATACAGTTGTAATGGTCAGGTGTCCACATCTTTTGGCCATATAGTGTACTTTAATAGATCCTATTGGCAAACTTGCACCTACCCTGATGTCACAATGTACTCTGGAAATGCACATTCCTAATGTGTCTATTGGTACAGTATTTTCTAATAAATGTATCTTGCCATAAGTCATTTTGAGAATTATTTACACAGGTACACAGCGATCTGCCAGATTTTACCATCTGTTCAGTAACTGTTAAGGATGCAGGAAGCGTGGCAATGCTTCTGACAACACTATGTTGGTCTTGAAACCATTAGGTAGGCACCTGGTGTATACAGTTTTCTCAAATATTGTCCCAAGTTCTTAATTTGAGAACCTGTTCTGTAGGTCAGCTCCTGCAGAACATCTCTCTGCTGACTTGTCACAAGAATTCTTACAGCACTCCATTGCATCGGGTTTTTTGCTTTTAGTCTAGAACCAAAATCACTAAGATTCAGATCACTTTTCTGAAAGGGATGTTTATTCCATATATGTGGATGTTTCAGGGCCATGTTAGAATTAAAGGGCACCTGTGGTTATGAGGTGAACAATACACCTCTGAGCTATTGATCTTCAGCAGGCACTTTTACTACACTGATGTCTGTATGTCATTTCTCAAGGTGGAATTCCTGACGGTGACAACGGTGGACCATTCCTGTATAATGTGTATCAAATTGTCCACTTGTAGTCTTTGTCAAAAGCCTGTGTGAGAGGGTGACAACGCAGGAGCACATTTGGGAGACAGACACAGAGTGTTGGGAGTTGGGAGACAGGCACAGAGAGGACCCTTATCGCAGGACCATAAGAGGTTATTTTAATAAAAGCTACAGATTAAAAAAATAATAATTTGAAAATAGCTTTTTAATTTACATTACCATGTAAAGGCTTATGTGAGATTTTGGTAATCGGGTTTACATACACTTAGAACTTACATGCAAACAAGCTTGCATTGTACACTGCTGAGATAACCGTATAACAACTCAGGGCTGTAAAGTTTTGGAACTTTTTAATATTCTGATATAAAAGTGAAGCATATTCTGTTATTTGATTACTGTGATGTAAAAAAATCCTAAAATGTACAAAAAAAGCCCTAATATACAACACACATTACACTGAACACCCCTGCACTTAGTGCTCACTAGCTAGCTAGTGTTGATGGTGTGGATTGAAAGTATATTTAAACCAAAGAACAAACATTTCATATATTGTAGGCAATCTGTACTTAGATGTGTTGGCCGCATTTGTTTTCTTTTTTAGGTTAAGAACCTTTTCCTGCAAGTACAGAAAATTACCTGCGGATTTCTATATGGTTAATTGAATATCATCAGTCTGCTTGCAATTATCAGTTGAACAGCAGTTTGGCCAGACATGGGTCAGACATAGGAGGTACACTGTGGAACTTTTAATGAGCTCAGCAATAATCTGCACTTTCCCATTGCCAGTTAGCTTAAACTCTAACTCTCCTGCCCCCATCAATGTCAGTTCACCTTAACTGCCCTCACCAATGTCAGTGGAAACTAATGCCAGCCAAACCAACCCAGCTAACCTTACCTGACCCTCACCAATGCTAGTTAACCTTACCTGTCCCTCATCAATGCCAGCTACATTTACCAAGCTAACCTTACTGGCTTCTCACCAATGCCAGGCAACCTTACTTGACCCTAACTAATGCCAGATTATCTTCCTTCACCAATGCCTTTTAACCTTAGTGTCCCCTTACCAATTCCAGCTAACCTCAGCTGCCCCAGCAATGTCAGAGCAAACCAATGCCAGCACAACCTACCCAGCTAACCTTATCTGCCCTTCACCAATGCTACTTAACTTTACCTGTCCCCCACCAATGACAGTTACATTTTCCAAGCTTACCTTACTGGCCCCTCAGCAATGCCAGACAAACTTACTTGACCCTCCTCAATGCAAAATAACCTTAGATTCCCCTCACCAATGCAGGCTAACCTTACCTGCCCCTCACCAATGACAGTTAACCTTAGTGCCCCCTCATCAATGCCATCTAGCCTCACCTCCCCCCCCCTAGCTTCAGCTAACCTTAAAAGCCCCCCAACAATGTCAGAACAAACCTAGACTAACCCAAAACAATGCCAACTCAACCTGCCCAGCTAATGTTACCTGCCCCTCACCAATGCCAGTTAACCTTACCTGCCCCTCATCAATGTCAGCTAACCTTAGCTGCTCCTCAGCAATGCCAGAAAACCTCACCTACCCCCGCCAACATCAGTTAAACTTAACTGCCCTCCACTAATGGCACAGCAAACCTTAGCTGCCTCTCATCAATGCCAATTAACCTCACCTGCCCCTCACCAATGTCAGCTAACCTTAATTGCCCCCCACCACCACCACCAAAGTCAAAGCAAAGCTTACTTGCCTCTCAGCAATTCCATTCAACCTTTTAGAGCACTTGTTATCCACCCCCACATGGAGCCATGGAGCAAGCACACCCAATGCAAACAAGACCATCATGCACATACTCCAGGATCCATTCCCCCCAAACCCAACAACCTCTACTTCAGGGTCCCCTTAAGTAATTTGACCACCGGGATGAATTCCCTTGTAGAAAAGCCAAATGTATTGGAGTCATATGGGAAGGCAAAATTAAGGTGACATTTAAGGCTGTATTTTTTTTTAATTATTATTTTTTGCGTATTTATTTATATTTTTTACAGTATGAAAAAAAGGCACAAAAATAGTATCATAAAAATGGGTGGGATATATTAGGCAGCAAGTGAACATTTTGTCCTTGAAGTTACTTCGGGAAGAGATGGCACCAGGATGCACTATAGCTAGCCGGTGGAGGCTGTGTAATGTTTTGGGCAATGTTCTGCTGGAAAACCTTGGGTCCTACCATTCATGTGGATGTTACTTTGACACGTACCACCTACCTGAACATTGCTGCTGACCAAGTATACTCCTTCATGGAAATGGTATTCCCTGATGGCAGTGGCCTCTTTCAGCACGATAATGCACCCTGCCATACTTCAAAAATGGCTCAAGAATGGTTTGACAACAACAACAACGAGTTTGAGGTGTTGACTTGGCCTCCAAATTCTCCAGATTTCAATCCAGCTGAGCATCTGTGGGACGTGCTGGAAAAATAAGTCATATCCGTGGAGGCCCGACCTCCCAACTTATAGATCTGCTACTGATGGCTTGGTGCTAGATACCACAGCATACCCTCAGAGGTCTAGTGGAGTCCATGCTGTCAGGGTTCCACCCTGACTTATCTGTGTTGCAGCATTCTGGCTTGGCTGCCATATTACTCACCTGTGATTCCTCCTTTGCCTGAGCAGACTCTGTAATATTGCTCACTACGTCCAGGCTCCCTCTTATGGCCAAACAGGAAAGCATCATCAGAGAGAGCCAGATAGGAGTTTCCTGTCTCTGAGTGATGATGTCACCCCACTCACTATATAAACCACTCAGTCCATTCTGACCTTGCCCTTGCGTGGTCTTCCTGCTAGTGCATTCCTGCTGCTCTGAGTATTCTGATTCTGTGTATGACCCGATCCTGGCTGGTGGTCTCCTCTGGTTCCTGCTCCTAGCTTGTTCCTGACGACGCTGATCTCCGTGTTCCTGACCTGGCTTGTATGACTATCCACTCCGGCTCCTGTTTTTGGCTTGTTCCGGTTTATGATTCTTGTTTGCTCCTGTGGACACTGTTTTTATTAAATATTTTCACTAGCACCTTATTCTTGTCTGGTTTTCATTGTGCTCTGACACATGCCTGGATGGATCACGTGGCTGTTTTGGCAGCAAAAGGGGGACCTTCTCAATATTAGGCAGCTGGTCATAATGTTATGGCTGATTTATGTATTTTATTGATATTTGATGTTTCCAGCTAGTTTTGTTGCAAAACATGTCACTATATTCCTAGTCATAACTAATGCAGAATATATCATGTTTGCTAATACAGTATGTAACATGCAAATAAAGTTTATGCAGCTGACTAATTTATGAGAAATACCGAACTCCGCTGATTCAGGGAGAAGGATGCGAACAGCAGTGATCATACCGTATATACTCGAGTATAAGCCGAGGTACCTACTTTTACCCAAAAAAACTGGGAAAAAGTATTGACCCGAATATAAGCCGAGGGTGGGAAATGAGGCAGCTACTGGTAGATAGATACCAATAAAATTACATTAATATTTATTTAAAAGAAAAATAACCTAGCTCTGTAAGTGGAAAAG